CACTACGAATATACATATCGGTTGATAAAATTGATTGATTAAAATTGATAGCTTCAATATATTGTATACTTCGTCAACAATACCAGTTATATGGCCATAACTATTGCCAATATGAATAAGTGTTTAGCAAAACGATCATTTTATTAAAGAAGTTTAATAGTGTGGTTAAAATAGAAGTTATCTACAATATAGGATTACGCTAAGGAAAAGTAGTATAAGTATACGTAAGTAGTATAAGTAGCTAAGTATAAATTGGAAGAAGAATACAAACGAGCTAGAAATATGTTAGATAAGCATTAAACAAAAAAATAAACAACTTTTTAATTAAAATACATAAAATGCATATGAGACCAATCGCATTATATCACTCTTGTGCATGAGTACGTAAACAGCCAGATCGAAGTGCATGTGTAATACGAGCACCCACTTGAAGGTCACCAAATATAAATACATAGTTTTCGTTCTCACGTCAGCCAAATGCTGATCAAAACATTGTGCCTACAGCACTCCTTCTCCCTGCTGCAATGTTTATGATTGTCAGAGAAGACATCGCTACCTTCAGCACGATTACCACACGAAGGCAGTGGTCGATTGAAGGGAGAGACGAGAGTCTAGATGCTGGGCGTGGCAGGATGAGATACAGAAACGTAATGAGGAAAGAGAGGTACCAAATCGGAATCTAAGTTGCGTCGATACAGGCGGAGGTCACGTACTTTTCCGCGTTTTGCTTCTGACTCTGTTTTGGCAAGGCAAGCAGCTGGACACATACGTACTGATCCGTAACAGCTCAATATTCAATGGTTTGGTGGTTATTTGCACAGAAAGATGACAAGCGTACAGATCAGCGAATTATTTCGAATCTTAATCTACCGTCGGAAAGATGTTAGATTTTAGTAACAGTAACGTTTCCAAAAGGATTCTGATTGGGTTGGATCATGTGTATGCGATATGCAGCCGCCACCAAGCTTGGATGGGTGGTTTTTGGATCAGTTAAGGGGCAAGTGAGTTCACTGGGTCAGAACACTTGACTCCCAGCTTTACCACAGGATCGTCTTCTGGACAAGATGGTTTGCGATTACTTTGAAACAGAAAACTTCGGAGTGAAGCAGTCTCCACCAATCGCAGCAAGTGGAGATGCACGTGCCTTGGGAATTCTTACTAGGCGTGTGGGCCAATGCTATGAAACTAGTCTGATTTGGAAGAATGACGAAATAAGAATGCCAGATAGCTATAACATGGCTCTCAAGAGGCTCGACAATATTGAACTAAAAATTCGCATACAAAGCAATTATAGATGACTACGTCAAGAAAAGATACCCACTATGACTAGAGCAGCAGGAAGTCACCCCAACCAGTGACAACCAGTACCTGCCGCACTACGAGGTCGAGAATCCAAATAAACCTGGAAAGATAGTCTAATCTTTGATAGTCTAATAATCGTAGCCAAGGTCGGCTACGTATCCCTGAATTCAGAGCTGCTTAGAGGTCCACAGTAGTACAAATCTCTACCAGCCGTGCTCTTCCAAATCAGAGAAGGAGCGGTCGGGGTCTGCGCAGATATTAAAGATATGTTTCATCAGGAGTTGATACAGCCCGGGGACAGAGGCGCCCAGAGATTCCTGTGGAGGAAAGGGGATAGCCAGCCAGACCCATGCCTGTATGAAATGATGGTAATAACGTTCGTAGCAGCTAGTCCGTGAATCATGTAAAGACTGTAAACGCTTCAAGGGCTATACAGTTTCTCGTACGGTTCTGCGATCAAGTAGTATTATTATGTAGACGACTACATAGATAGTTTCGCATATGAGAGCTACATGCAACACAAGTGCGTCATACGACTGCGACATTAAAGCTGAAGTCCCCCATGGCAGTGTTCAGCTATTGCTGTATCAACACGGGTAAGAGAAATGCATGGTTTCGATTTATGCCAGTTTTCTTCCCACAACTGGGGAAAAAATACTGTGCGTTTACTAGCAGCTGGTGACGGGTGAGTTTAAATTTAGCATAGAGTACCATCAGGATCTAAGCAGCGTGATGTCTTGGAATGGCGTCCGCACCAAGACAGAATTCTTGACTGACTGACGGGGCAGTCATCGTTTGACCCGCTAGAATTTTTGAGCTGCTACATGGAGACCGTCAAATTGTTGATGAGGAAAATTTGGCGAAGAGCAGTTTAATGGGATGAGCCGCTACCGGATGAGGTGAAGATACTGAGGAACACTGACTTAAGTTTTGCTCGGGTGATGACAGCAGTATACCGACAACGAAAGACGAAGGGATGCCCTGCGAGTTGGCACTGCTTATAAACAGTTTTATAGAGAGTTTAATTTGCTTGTGTGGTTAAGCCTAGATCTTGTATTTCACACAGAAAAAAATCCATCTATCTTGTCTTGGTGCGGTTTAGCGGCTTAAAGACAACTCCCAAGTTGATCATCGTCCAGTCGGCGTCAAGCATATTGGAAGCTTAAGTTTTCTTATCTCGGTAACATGTTATTATGTACACATGTGTGATTTATTTTCATTTTCATTTGTAAACTTTTGTTGTATATTTACCACTTATCAAATTATTTCCATATTCATGATAAGGCGTATAATAATCCAATCGGGTCCTATAAGCTCAATTTATTTATAACAATATAAAAGATTACAATCTTTAAAATACAGGGAAAATTGTGAGAAATAACAACAAACTTTAAGTGGAAATACATGTAAAAAATTAATTCTATTCGTTTGGAATATATTATTATCTGTGGCTCATATGTATGTAATACAGCAAATCGCATATTTAATGAGTTTGAGATTTGCGACGGGCTATGTGACACCGCACAATCTCTTATAATTATATTATTATACAAGGACTTTAAACTTGATAATACCAACATTAAAGAGCAGATAAAACTTTAAAAGTTCCTGAGAGACTATTCTCAAATTGAATAATTATACCCGTTACTCGTAGAGTAAAAGGGTATACTAGATTCGTTGAAAAGTATGTAATAGGCAGAAGAAAACGTTTCCGACCATATAAAGTATATATATTCTTGATCAGGATCAATAGGCGAGTCGATCTGGCCAAGTCCGTTTGTCCGTCCGTCTGTTCGTATGAAAGCCTCGATCTCAGGAACTACAAAAGCTAGAATGTTGAGATTAAGCATGCAGCTTCCAGAGACATAGACGAAGCGCAAATGCTGCCACGCCCTTTCTAACGCCAACAATCAAATTTGTGAATCTTTTTGAATCAGAAAAAGATTTGTATTGAAATCCAGGTCTTCTATGTACATACATATCTACATGATGATCCTTCACTTTTAATAGTAGTAATACCTGATGGAACTAACACCACTAAAATTATGGATGGTTCATTTCAATATAGATGTTAGTCAAATTTAATTGATGAATCGCCTTATGAAATTAACAGATACTAAATCGTTAGAACCCGGTTGTAGACATGGGTACTTCACCTAAAATCTCGGAAACTTGGGATAAAACTGATTGAACTTCAGAGGCATAAATAAATTTGTCGATACCCTAAAACAGTATTAGTTTTTGCTGATGCTTTTAGAAAAAGTGTATTATTGTAATTGTAATCATAAACTTGTAGTATTGTTGATATACAAATGTGGAAGATGTATATGCTAAAAACAAATCAAACAATAATTTAATTTAAAATTCCTCACGAACAGAGTTACTGCAATTGAAAAATTTTAGAGCGTGGCGAAAATTTACAGATAGCTTTCCATAGTTTGGAAGCGGACCCCAAAACTAGATCAAGGTACTCAACAATTTTGGTACGGCAAGATAGGGCCAACATAGAGCGACTTAGGCTTCACATTACGAACAAATTATTTCACTGGAAGCATCACTTTAACTATAGACTTCACATTAAATTGAGAATTAATTACGAATAAATTATTTCATTTAAAACTTTACTTCTACTTTTAAACGGATAAATATACACACCTCTATTTCAAGTGAAATAACTAAATCCGGCCAGTAAGTTGGTTAGTTCAAAGACTTTTTTAGCAACATAAACGCATAAAATGAATAAAGTTTTAGTTGAAATTGATTTACAAGGACTGATAACAATAAAAATAACAACTCAACGAAAGCAGTTATTTTGGTGGCCACTTAAACCATTCCAACTTTCTTAACAACTTTAACCAAACAAGAATATATATTAGGCAAATCGCTTCAGAAAGGTAACTAAGAAGAACGACTCATAGAAATCTTTATAAGATCACCTTACATAAGAGGCGTAAGGAATTGCCCACCATTAAAGAAAACAAAACCAATTAACAAAAACCAATTTCCTTTTTGCTCAATACATACTGTCGGGTCTCGCAGTGACCAGCAGATCATAAATATCTTCTTTATAAACTTGCCAACTTTGTACAAACGGTACCTAAGGTGTGCCTATTTATCAGCTCATCTAATGAGCTAATGAGCATCTAAACTCGCATCGCTCTTTCACTCTCTCTTGTACTTCAGGGATTATACCTATGGCTAAGCGTTTGCTGAAGTTCGCTCTGCAATAAGCCTGCCCATCATCATTCGCTTTTGCTGGTCATGGTTAAGTGGACCTCTGCATCCAACAAAAATAAAGACATCCGATAAAAAAAATTCGCTAAATTTAAAATAGTTTTTTATTGATTTTAATAACTAATAAAATAGAGTATGCACAGCGTCAGAATGCTAACTCTGCATTTACGACAATATGTCCTCAAGTGGGCGATGTTTCATTTTGTCAAACGCACGGCAAATACCGTAAATACTTATTATTAGCATAATGGCTAATTATGATTGCTGAGTACGGATATCACATCAAAGCAACTATATTTTTTGATTCAGTGAAATATGCATATGTCCCTAATACTGCCATGGCATGGGATATACTGTATACCCTGCAGTTTCTTTATTATAAAAATGTATTATAAAAGATATACATTTAAGCATCGAATACAAAATTCCGTAGTCGTGAACATCTTATTGTCCTACGGAGTTATGGCCAGCTTATTCTCAGTTGAGTATGGGACCTTTTCAATTACCTTTAAAGTAAAATATATTAGTACAACAAAGACAAAGATGTATTAAAACAATTTACCTAAAAGGATTACTTATGTGAGCAGTATTTGTTGTTGTTTATACAATGAATCAATTACCTGAAATAGTTAATGAATTATATTCGTATACTTAGCATTTTCTAAAATACTAACACTACATAAAATAAGCCGCTGGTTCTCACAAAACCTTTAGAAAATAAATCCGTTAATCCATTTAAATTTCTTATTGTTAGTTCCCTTTCTCTCGTCCCTGTCCCTGTCCCTTTTGCCTAATTTGTTCCGTTCCGTTTGTTTTGTTCCGTTGCGCACCACTAATTTTAACTTTCTTTCGTTGACTTTGCGCTCGCTAATGAACATTTTATAGAATTTGTTGAAATGTCACCATTAATTCCTCAATTTAAAAGACAATTATACATTAAATTTACAACTTACATTTTTAGGAGAGAGATCGTACGCGATAGAGAAGGTGAGTAGCAGTAATTAGTGGGCTCGGCTGGCGTAGCCGCTGATTACACCCGTTACTCTTGGAGTAGGGTATACTAGATTCCTTGAAAAGTGTGTAATAGGTAAAATGAACCGTTTCCGACTATATACGTACATATGTATATATATTCTTGATCAGGATCAATTGCACAATCGATCTGGCCACAACCGTCTGTCCGTCCGCCTGCCCGTTTTTCCGTCTCAGGATCTCAGGAACTATAGAAGCCAAAAATGTTCAGATTAGCCATGCATATTCCAGAAACATAGACGCAGCGTAAGTTTGTTTCCAAATTTTGGCACGCCCACACTTTTAAAAAATGTTTAGATATTTTTTAATAGTCTTGTAAGTTTCTATCGGTTTGTTAAAACACTAACTCCCAAAACGGCGTTTTCCAATTTTTGATATTTTTTCAATTTTTTGTTAGTCTAGTAAATTCTCCACGCTCAGTCTAACGCCCAAAAAGCCGTCAAATGCTGTGACGCCCACACTTTTAAAAAATTTTAATTTTTTTTTCATATTAATTTTTTTTTCTCAATTTCTACCAATATTCCAGAAAATTTTGAAATTTCTCGTTTGCACTTATACTAGCGGAATAACGGGTAATTGATAGTCGGGGAACTCGACTATAGCATTCTCTCTTGTTTTGTGATGGTTTTGAGTAGCGTTGAATTGTGGAACTGCAGGTATGAATTAACGCAGAACAATATTCCCGTTTATATTTATAACTTTTTTAGTCGGAATTTATTCTGCTTAATACTATATTTGAATCTTTTTGGATAATTATAACATTGAAATGGGATTTATTTGTAGGATGTTGTTCTGGTTATTTAATATTATATTTTAATCTGTTCGGATAGTTATAACTTCAAAATAATATAAAACTAACATAAATATTTTCCAAGAGAGCTGGGCAGAAGAGTCTACGTCGGTAGCTGTGAACAGAATTGATGACAGCGATATGGGTAGAAAACTGACTGTTCACACTATAAACTAATGCGTACACTTAATGAGTTCAATTCGGGTGTTTGAATCTAACTGACTCGCTGCTGCGAGGGCATCGCCTTTTATTCATTCTTACATAGGTTCTTATCATCTAATTATATAATGCAGCGCTTGTAAGACGCTGCAGTCTGCGTTGGTCAATGCAGCTGAGGTTTATCTCAAATCTATGTTTGAAGCCTATGACCGCGCTAGTCACCTCCCGCGTGATCATATCTCTTGACACTTCGGCAATAGACCACTGCAACCGTACTTATCTGTAGTTGCCACTTATGCTGTCCCGTGACATGTTTATTGCAGCCCTTAAATAGAACATATTTATAGATTGTCTACTTATCATGTCTAAACACATGTTTAGACATTCTCCGGGGGGGAAAAATGTACGGCCAGTAGTCGTCTATCATTTATGCGTTCCAGCTCCAGCTGGTTTTGCTTCGCTAACAGGAAGTTGACAGATCTTGTTTAGCGATCTTTTTACTTCCCCATCGCTTGTTTTAACCGTGACTACCCGGACTTTATCATCTTGTCCTTTAGTCGTACTAATGATTCTTCCCATTGGCCATCTTGCAGGGTGAGTGTTCTCATGTTTTATAAGAACCCGCTGTCCCTCCTTCAGATTTGGCTTTTCTTGGCGCCATTTGGTTCGCTTTTGCAATGACACCAGATACTCCTCTTTCCATTTCTTCCAAAAATCACCTCTGATGCGTTGAATAAGCTTCCATCTATCCAAAGAGCTGATTGTCTTACTTTCGTCAAAATGTTCAGGAGCTCCAATTAGAGGTCTTCCCACCAGAAAATGACCCGGCGTTAATGTCTTCACCATCGTTTTCGCTCCTTACAGTGACTAATGGGCGCGAGTTTAGCACTGCTTCGATTTGACACAGCAGCGATGCAAATTCTTCATATGTAAAGCTGCTTTCACCAATAACTCGTTTAAGGTGATGCTTCACTGATTTTACACCGGCTTCCCATAAACCTCCCATGTGGGGGCTTCCCGGGGGAATAAAGTGCCACTTGATGCCTTCTTTTTCTAGTGTAGGTGCTAACTCATTATTGTTTTTAATGGCAGCTACAAATTCTTTGTCCAACACTCTTGAAGCTCCTACGAAGTTTGTTCCATTATCTGAGTATATGTTCTCACTCTTGCCTCGTCTTGCAAAGAACCGTCGAAGAGCCTCCAGGAATTTGTCTGATGAAAGGTCGCTAACAGCTTCCAGATGTATCGCTTTTGTTGCCATACAAACAAATACACAAATGTATCCTTTATAAGTTTTTTGACCTCTTCCCTTTGAGCAGCGAATCTGGAACGGTCCGGCGTAGTCGATTCCAGTATTTTGAAACGAGTAATCAGCCGTTACTCGATAAACTGGTAAATTTCCCATCAGTTGACTGGACATCTCTTGCTTGTATCGTAGGCATACAATACATTCCCTTAAATATTTCTTTAAGGAATTTTGTATGCCAAATATCCAGAACTCCCTCTGAATATAAGTTCTCATAATGTTAATTCCGCCATGCAGAGTTTCTTTATGAGCATCCTTTGCAATTAACCAAGTCAAATGTGACTTATCCAGTATAATTGGATGTTTTACATTATACGGTATCATTGCGTTTTGTAGTCGTCCACCAACTCGAAGTACGCCATCACTATCCAGAAAAGGATTTAGCGCCTGTAACTTACTCTTTGGGTCTAATGGTCTTTTGTTTTTGAGTAGTCTGACTTCGTGTCCAAAATCTAGCTGTTGTTGTATCTTTACCACAGCAATCTTCGCTAGCTTTAATTCCTCTACCGTAAGATGTGACGGCTGTTGCGATTTTCCTCTCAGCTTTGTTATGAAGCGTAATACATACGCCATTACTCTAAGAAGTTTGTCGATTGATGAATACTTCGATAAAAGATGGTTTTGCAGATATTCGGATTTTATCAATGTGGATACCACAACAATTTCCGATTCTTTTTGAGTGGGCCAGTGTTGTGCATCTATAGATAGCCAATTCGGCCCTCTCCACCAAATTTCACAGATTTTAAGAGCTTGTGGTGATATCCCTCTTGAAGCCACGTCTGCTGGATTTTCTTCCGACTTAACGTAATTCCATTTGACATTGGGAATTAGTTTATAGATTTCTTCCACTCTAGTTCTGACGAACTTATCTTTGCTGCGCTTGTTCTGTATCCAAGCAATAGTAATTTGCGAATCACTCCATGCATGCGTTGTAATCTTGTTGCTCCATATAGTCTGCACTTTCGCTAATAACTTAGCTAGTAAATGGGCAGCACATAATTCCAACTTTGGAATTGTTTTCCTGTTTTTTATAGGATTAACTTTGCTTTTTGCTGCTAGTAAGGTGACTCTGCCGCCTACTTTTGTATACACAGCCGCTGCATATGCTTTCTCTGATGCATCGCAGAATCCATGTAGCTCCATAATACCTTTGGAGCATCCAGTCCACCGTGAAATGCTAATTCCTTCTAAATCTGATAGGCCTTTAGCATATTCCATCCACCAGTTTGCTAAGTTGGATTCCAATTCAACGTCCCAAGTCATCGGTAATTTCCACAGTTCCTGAATGAAACATTTGCCTTGAATCGTTACAGGTGCCAACCATCCTAGTGGGTCGAAAATTCTGGATAACTGTGATAACACTAACCGCTTTGTTATGCGTGTTAGCATTGGTTTTTCTGCCGAAAACGTAAATGTATCCTTCTTTGGATCCCATTGGAGTCCTAAGGTTTTGATCGATTCATTTTCCTCAATGCAGATTTTCTCCGTAGCACCGTCGTCCTGAATGTCGGCTAAAATACGTTCGTCATTTGCAACCCATTTCGCAGATGCATGCCGGCCTTCTCCATTACTTTTCTCAATTTCCTTTGAAGTTCATAGCACTCGTTGACTGTGTCTCCACCAGTTATGAGGTCATCCATATAAAAGTCGTCTCTTATTGTTTCTGCTAAGACGCTATCCTCTTGGCAAAAGCGATCTGCCAACTCTCGTAGACATCGGACTGCTATGAAAGGTGCTGCCGAGGTGCCATATGTTACGGTTGTTAACTTAAACTCACTGATCGGCAATTTTGGATCATCTCTCCATAGGATATATTGGTACTCTTGGTCTTTCTCAGCAACCTTTATTTGGCGATACATTTTTTCAATGTCAGCTACCATAACATATTGCCACTTGCGCCATTTAATTAGAATATCGAATATATCCTTTTGAATCTTAGGGCCAGCTATAATAACGTCATTTAGGCTTAGTCCATTTGTCGTCTTTGCGGATGCGTCAAAAACTACTCGTAACTTCGTAGTTAAGATTCCATTTGCATAAGCCTTGCCATTGCCTGTTTGCGAGAGTCCCCAAGTTTTGCCTCTTGGTGGAATGGAATTGAAACCACAAATCTGCCTTCCTCGTTGATGACAGTTGTTTCTTGGAATTTTCTTTCGCATTCTGCATTGTCTGTAATCGTGTCATCGGTTTCATCTTCCAATTCCCAAAAGCGTTCCAGGTCCTTTAGATTTATTGTTGTAGTGGCACTTATAATTTTTTGCTTTGCTGCTCGAGTTATATTTCCGGACACAATCCATCCAAATTTGGTTTTTTGTCCCAAGATTCCATTTACGGTTTTTATTTTCTCCATCATAATCAGGGGAAATAGATCCACACCTATCACTATGTCAATTCTGCTTGGCTCGTTGAATCGTGGATCTGCTAGCCTGTAGCCCTTCCACTCTTTGTTGATATCAATATCAAACTTTTTGCTGGGAAGGGCTCTATGGAGTGTTGGTAAAACCAATGCTTCCGTTGATGCTTTGAAGCTGCTTGGAATTTTTGGTTTGATCGTCAGGTGGACACTATTTTTTGATAATTGAGTAGTCTGGGAGATACCTTCGACCTCTATAGTACTCCTTACTCTGGGAATCCTTAATATTTGTGCTGCTTCCTCTGAAATCAGCGTCTTCTGGGATCCACCGTCAATAAGCGCCCTCAACTCGTTGTAACCACCAGCTTTGTTTTTCACTAAAACAACAGCTGTAGCCAATAGTGTGTCTTGGCCTTGCTTAAGGCTATTGCTGTTGATACTGCGTTTTGTGTCTTCATGCAGAAGGCTGTTGTGTCTTTTGGAGCATCGATTGCATGTAATTTCCTTTCTGCAGTCGATAACAACAATTCTTTTCTTTTTTCGATTGATTGTGCTCTGAATTTGAGACACTTTATCATATCGTGGCCATCCTTAGAGCAAAAGGCACATGATCTAACTTGCACTTTTCTTGTAGCAAGCTGAGCGGTATTTTTGGTAATGGAGTTTACTGAGTTGTATTGTTGCTCAATAAACTCCAGTACGTCTTGTAAGGACTGTATAGCTCTTGCCTTTTTTACATGCTGTTCATACAGCTGCAAGGCTTCTGGCGAAAATTTCCGCAGCAGAATTTCTGCTAAAATTACGTCAGCAGAGTTTCCTATTTTTCCTTTTTGCTTTATGATGAATATGGTCTCGGTCGCAGTATCCAAAAACTTCCCTAAATTTTTCTCATCATGGGGCAGCAAGCACTCCAGTTCCATTAATTTGTTGAAGTGTTGGGAGAATATTTTTCTGCTATTCTCATAGCGTTTGCAGATAAGCTCCCACGCTGCTGCATAGCTAGCTACTGATCCCGTTATCAAATGGCTAACCACCATTTGAGCTTCTCCTTTTAAGCAGGCTCTTAAATATCCCAGCTTCCTTGTGTAGCTGAGATCTTTCCTGCTGTCTATTAGTTCAGAGAACAGCTCGTAAAATGTTGGCCATTCCTTCGCATTTCCATTGAACGTTGGAAGGTCCACTTTTGGGAGTTCTGGCACGTCGCAGTTGGAAAATTTGAACAGTTCCAACTTCATTTGAAGTACCATCTCTAGTGCGGCAACTTCAGATTGCAGAATGTCTGCCTCATCTTGATCAAAAACAGTTCTGTCATACTTGTTTTCAAGCAGTTTCAGTGTGTCCGTCACGTTGGACCACTGACTTTTCATCATTGCCAGCTGCTTGACTAGTTCAATCTCACTTGAACTATCCAGGGTTTCGTAGATTAGGCTCATCTGTTGCCTCACCCTGTCCGCTCTTCTATCCACCAGTTGAACCAGATTATCAACTGGACTGGAGCTCCGAGCTGATGCTGTATCAGATAATTTTGATCCACTTGGTATATTTATTTCTTCAAGTGTTTCTACCTTTAATTGCGACTCCTTGTAGGCCTTGACAGCATCCATAGTTTTAATAAATATTTTATCATAAAAATATTGATGATCGCCAACTCCCAATTTTACCAGCGCATTGTTGTTAGTAGTAAATCGAACTACCAATGCTTCTATTGCTGGTATAGATGCCTTTTCCTTGATTGCTTGCAGTATTTTGTTCTGCAGCTCTCCTTGGTCTTGCATCAATTTCACAGATCTTTCCGACAACATCTTGGGAAAACAATCACTGTGACTTTTTTGTGCTTTCTGCTTGTATTCTTTGGCCTGATCCGTTGGAGGATTTTTTGATTGGTCGCCCAGTTGACCTAGCTGTGCCTCGACTCACAGCTGATTGATCAGCCAAGGAAAAGCAAGAACACAATGTTTCACCTTATAGTCCTAGTACTTTAAGGCGTGGTCTTTTATTCTGTGTTTCTTACCACTGGTGGGGGAAACAACAGAATCACTCGAATAACCTTGCTCTTTTTACTTTGAAGCGCTGGTTTTTTTTCTTCTGTGTTTCTTACCACTGGTGGGGGAAAACAACAGAATTTCTCGAAGGACCAAAATGTTCACACTATAAACTAATGCGTACACTTAATGAGTTCAATTCGGGTGTTTGAATCTAACTGACTCGCTGCTGCGAGGGCATCGCCTTTTATTCATTCTTACATAGGTTCTTATCATCTAATTATATAATGCAGCGCTTGTAAGACGCTGCAGTCTGCGTTGGTCAATGCAGCTGAGGTTTATCTCAAATCTATGTTTGAAGCCTATGACCGCGCTAGTCACCTCCCGCGTGATCATATCTCATGACACTTCGGCAATAGACCACTGCAACCGTACTTATCTGTAGTTGCCACTTATGCTGTCCCGTGACATGTTTATTGCAGCCCTTAAATAGAACATACTTATGGATTGTCTACTTATCATGTCTAAACACATGTTTAGACACTGACCCTGTACTGACCAGGGGACCGCTGACGCAACTCCCCATGTTCAGTTTCATTTCAGTTCATGTTTCATTACTTCAGAATGCTGATCTGGAGAATTGCATTCGGTGTTGCAACATTTTTGGGCTCCAGTTACCCTATTAAAAAAAATGCAACTGGATAATCTGTAAATGTTTATCGTGCGGCCATTTAAATCGGAAATAGTTTGGAATTTAAAAGCATTTTTTTTTACCCTTTTTAAAACAATTTCGAAAAAGATGAATTATTTGTCAAGGCTGGACGGGTCGTTATACTTTGGTACGTATGTATAGCATTGTTTTAGCATTTTCTAAAAAAGTTTAGCTTAAATACTTTTCCTTCTTTGTGTTACTAGTTTTGAGTGAGCAAAAGTCCTAAAATTAGGAGCTGGTTAGGCGGAAAGCAAGAAAGCAATTGTACAGCGTCCTGGTGAGCCACTGAACTGATAGCACAGGTTCCAACTAGCCCAGCATAACTCTCTTGATCTTAACACGTAAAGATCAAGAAAGAGACATATCCGTATTATGCACTGTTAATTTCATCATAGTGATTTCACGATTAGTTTTTTATCCATTATTCAGAAATAAGTGCATCGAACCCATAGTTAATATAAAGTGGATAAAAAACATTTGTTATTTTGTTTAAATATTTAATGGTTTAAATGATAATTTGAAAAATTCTAGAGTTATTCGTAATTATATGATTTAATTACTTCATGTCCTTCGCAGCTTCAGAATATTCTCGAATTAGTGTTGTGATTTGATAAGCCTGCAATGAAAAAAAAGTAGTTTAGAAAGTTTATTAAATCAATTTTGGAATAAATTATTTTTTATATCATATAACGATCCATACAATCTCTACTATATTTTTGGTATTTATAGGCTCCGTTTATTGTTCGCAATTTCAGTTTTTAGCATTTTTTTGTATATAAATATAAATAACCAAATTCAATTGCTATATTGATTTTTTGTTTAAATCTTCAGAAATATATAAACATTATCAATATAACAAAAGCATTTTTTTTTTTGCAGTCGATAAAGCACGCAAAAAAGATAACCCTTGGCCACAGCTGAAAGTAACGAAAAAGCGGGAGAGTGAATAGGACCGAGTGGAGTCGCTAGCGATTTTATTGCGTTAATATTTGGAACGCTGTTACAGAATGGTAAAATATATGACAATCTGACGTGTCCAAAGTATAAAAAAAAGTATAAAAGTAGATTGAGCGTGGCAAAATTTGAAAACAAACGTACGCTGCGTCTATGTCTCTGGAAGCTGCATGCTTCGGGGGTTTCTCTCTTGAAAGGAAGTTTAATCGGAATCCTGTCGTGACAGATCAGTATTCTGCATTCATGAAGGAGTATCTGGGCTTTGTCTCTTGTTCCTTCATCCCTAATCAGTTCTTGCCGATACTTCTTACCGCATCATTGTGTCATGAAAAAGATAGCTATACAACTAAGCTTCGAGTAGTCTTTGACGGATCAGTCTACTTCTTCTGGCTACTCTCTTAATTATCTGTTGATTTCGGGTCCAATCATCCAGCCCAAGCTGTTTCATACATTATTCTGATTTCGTTCGCACCCTGTTGCCATTACAGGGGACATCTGCAAGATGTATCGCTGTGTAATGATTTCGCATGAAGACGGCTACTTGCAATGCATTTTATGGAGAGACTCATCATCTGAAGAGGTTAAAGTGTATAAACAAGACACAGTTACGTACGGCACCAAGCCAGCCTCCTACTTGACTGTGAGGGCTTTGCACCAGTTGGCGATGGATGAGCAGACAGCATTTCCGTTTGGAGCAGAAGTTCTTCGAAGCGAGATTTCTACGTGGATGATCATATCAGGTGCCAATTCCGTGAAGATGCTATCAACATTATGCACCAGACCACTAACATTCTTACTAAAGGCCTCTTTAGAAAATGGTGCTCCAATAATCCGATAGTTTTAGAGGATGTACCCAAGCAGGACAGGGAATCCTATTTGAAATTTGATAATGGGAATGACATTACCAGAACTTTGGGTTTCGCTTGGGATCCTATCTCTGATCATGTTCTCATTTCCTGTTCTGCACTCATTATCGACCCCATGTAGACGCTCTGTATTAGTCACAATTGCGAGGTTTTACGATTCCGTGTAAAATCTGCCTGCAACAGCTGTGTAAGAAAAATGTATCCGCCTCCCTCAAGGGAGGCTCAAAATACGAAATGGCCCGATATTTGCATCAGCTTTGGAGGGATATGCCGTGTTGAATTTCCACGTTTTGTGCTGGACTCAGATGGTGCTCTTCCCTCTGAACTCTGCTAGATCCCGGTCTGGATACACGGACCGTCATTTCTGATCGGGTCAGAGAAAGATTGACCATCTGCTAGTCTCACTGAGAAGCCACTGCCTGAGCTTCGTCGAAGTGTATAGCTGGCAAAATCTCGTTATGTGGACATAACCATTTGCTCTAAATTTGCAAACTCCTTTACTTTTCTGCAGTCTGTATTCGCTTATATCTACAAGTTTTGCAATAGAGTTCGACATCCTGGTCTCACGGTAGCGGACCTTTGAAAAGGAATTCAGCTGATTCTGCGCATCGTTCAGCACACTCATCTATGGGAGGTCATACAATCTTTAAGGATTAAAGGAACTGTTTTCCCATACAGTTCTCTAGCTTTTATCTCGCCTTTCCTGGATCAGTTCGGCCGTCTTCGAGTGGACGCGCGGCAAAGGAATTTTCCGCTGGATTTCATTGGCCAGCACCCAACGATACTTCCAAGATCCCATCCATCTACGTTAGCAATTGTTTTGCATTACCATGAGGCTAATCTTCATACCGGCCCTAGAGCTCTTCTTGTTTTCGGGCTAAGCTTCGTCTCGTGGAACACATTATGGCGGATCTTCCTAAACAGCGGTTTGGAGGATCGCATTACTTTCAGGTCACTGGTGTAGATTTCTGTGGGCCATTCTTCTACAAGCCGGAGTCTCGCAACAAGACCCCAATAAAGACAAATTCTAAACAAATTTGGTCAGACAACGCCACTAATTTCCTTAGCAGTGATAATAGATTTTTGTCTATCTGAAACTATCGATTGGCCTTTCATCCCTCCACGTTCACCCCATTTCGGTGGGATTTGGGAAGCGGTGGTGAAAATGACCAAGCATCATTTTTATCGTGCTGTGGGGCCTTCAGTCCTGGCGTGATTAATTCTAGACCTTTAGTCTCACATTCAGAGATCCCCGCTGATCTGGATGTTCTTATTCCAGCACATTTCTTGAACGGAGGTCGACCTGATTCCTTCGATGAGCCGGACAAGTCTCAACTACAACCGCTTGGATGCATGGCAGCACATGTCCTATTTGCAGCAAATCTTATGGTCTAAGTGGAAGGAAGAGTATCTAACATTACTTCAGCACCGGTACCAGAGGCGAACTCCAAGGCCTGGTCTGTCGGTAAACGATATTGTTCTTGTTAAGGACGAGAACCTACCCCTACAGTGGCCCCCTACCCTGAGGTGGCAAGAGTGCCTCAGCTGATACCCGGCAGAGATGGTGTCTCTCTAGTTGCCGTACTACAAACATCATCAGGAGAGACAAGACGTGCAGTAAACAAGCAGTGTCTGCTGCCCCTTTAGGACTCTGTTGAAAGCCTGACTTCCAACCGGGGAAGCATGTCGGGCCACGCAACCAACAGCATTAAACAAGACCAATTGTAATAGTTAGGATTAACATAAATCAATCATCTTGCTTATTTATTTGCGTATTTATCTAAGCACACGTTTGTATATCTTTATCTTTACGCTCATCTTTGTACCGAGCGTCTCATTTTCCATCTCAGTCGTCTATATACTCCGGAAAGTACATACAATGTACATACATACAATGTACATTGTACATACATACAAAAGTTTTTCGCGCTGGTTTGGCCCTTTCGCTGCCAAATAACCTACCAGAAACCAAGAATATCATTTGAACAATAATTGTTTTTAGTTCAAAAGCTAATGAAAAAGCTCATTGGCTAAACATAGACGTTTGCTTTATTTGCAGCCTCTTTACATTTTGGTCGATCGAGCCGATGAAATTTAACTTCGACAAAACTCTGCAGTTTTCTCCTCTATGATAAGGGACTCAGACAAAGACCAGTTCCCTAAAGCATTGTTAAGTTAATCTTGCAGCTAAAGGTAGTAAAAATATTTAACTCTTTTCATCCTCTATGGTAAGGCACAGAGTATAGCTTTAAAAAAAACAGGAAGATACACATTAATCTTTTATGTTCTAAAATTGGTTGGTTACCATTATAAATTATGATAAAGCGTGCTTGAGTCCATACATCAGGAAGTGCAAAAAAAAAGAAGTGCCTAAAAATGCCATAAGAGCATAACTTAATATAAAGTGCATAAAAAGAGTGCCAAGAGTAACTGATCTAACTGGACTATACAGATAAAACGTGCCAAAAAATAGAAAAAATATATAAATCCTGTTTAACATCCACGTCAACCTAGAGAGAAGGAAGAAACAAACACATCGCCAAACAAACACATCGCCAATGACGCATCGTCAAACAACGCATCGCCACCATCATAAAAAAACTGAAAAAGATAAACTTAACATTATACATTATTATACAAGTTAACACCACAAATGGATAAGATGGATAAATGGATAAGAACATTTGGAGCTGCAAGCGTATCCGCTTGTGCAACACTCGTGGGGTCGCATGAGCGTCCGGTTGCGGAACATACGCTGCACCTGCACAATATAAATGTGCAGACTTCCGTGCCCAACTTCCGTGGGCAGAGCAGCACCGAAGACAGGCAGGCGAACTTAGGTAGGGACAAATTTGTGAAACTAAAATCAGTTATATTTTTACATTCAATAAATAAAGACCTTATGGTCTACATCAATTATAGAAATATATTTTTTTATTGATTGGAACTCTATATGAGTTAATTGGCGTTAAAAAGGGCTTGTGCGCGTTACTACAGTCAAGTTAAACAACGCGAAGTACGCGCAACCTGTAAGTGCACCCGATTGGCTGCCCTGGTTATTGTGAGAAAGAAAAATGTTTTTCATCATATCCGTAGTGAACTGAGAAACCGAAAAAAAAAATCCCATAAGTGCACCCATTTTGGCTGCCAAGGATTAAAACGAACTGCCGCTGATAAATACACCCAATTGGCTGCTCCAGCGAAACAATCAAGTCCAAGAAGCAAGCGAACTCACTTACATCGGTCTGCAGACGTTGGTCGCAGATAACTGGTTCGGTGGTGCTGGAAGAGGTACACCAGTAGATCAGCGAAAAGGAAGACTACCTGCCAGCCAGTCCAGGATGTATTTTATAATGTAAGTAGTATTAAATGAAAGTAAAACAAATCGAAAGAAATAAATAATCAAATTAAACAATTAAAATCCTAAAACAAAATGAATAAACTTTAAAATAAAAATAAGAAAAAAAGTCAATTCTAAATAATTAAAATCAAGCATTTTTAGAAATACTGAAATTTAAGTAAAAAGTTAAAATACATTCAAGTAAAGTAAATAATATCGTTCTTTAATATTAATTTAAATAAAGATATCTAAGAAAACTAAAATAAAAATTAAAATAAAATTTAGGAAAAAACCAATTTAAAAAGAAATAATTGTTAAAATCAATCATTTTTAGGAAAAAAAACACAATACGAGACACAATAAGAGAAATAGGAATAGACATATTTTTAAGACAAGGATTCATAATGATAGCAAACAAACTACAATTTAAATTAAATCAACAACCCTCACGTGAAG